TTTTAGAATAAGCGAAACAATAATCCTGCTTCTAATGCCAGTCTCTTTGATCACTGTTATATCAGCAATGTAAAGCTTTTCTTAAACTCACAGTACTATCGTTATAGAAATCTTAATCTTGATATTAATAAAAATCAGTTTTCAACATTATATGATATGTATAAAAATTTTGAAGCCACTTATTACGGGAAAGAACCAGAACCTATGCTGAATAAAAAAAATTTCATCACACACATGCCTCTTATTGTAATTGACTGCTCTAAGCAGAATGAAGCTTTGAAAAGCGCGCCAGTGGACGTGCGATTGGAGTTTGAAGTACAAAGGAACTTCCCAGAAAATGTATCTGCTTACTGTCTCATTCTACACTATCGCATCGTAGAGTACAATCCCATTAGTGGTGACGTGAGAGAACTTGTTGAAGCACGTATATAAAATTTCAGAAAAAAATACTAGCAGTGAAGTCAGTCTTTATCATGATGGAGTACATGGTGGACATGTAGGGCTTTAAGAAGCCTGGCAACGATTATGTGCCTAAAGAGTTGGCGATTCTTCTACTCCATGGAGATGATGAGCCTCAAGTATTTCTCTTTAAGCCACCATTTTCTTGGTGCAAACTAAATGATAAATACAAACGTGAAAATTTACGGCTTGAGATATCCTATCATGGATTAGATTAGCAATCAGGTGTTATCGACTACATAGAAATTGGTAATGTTCTTCAGGATAATCTCAAAGATGCTAAGAAGATTTTTGTGATTGGAGAAGTGAAGAAAAGGTAGCTTGAAAGAATTAGTTTTCAAGTTGATGATATGGTTGATTATCCAGGGTTTTAACTCCCAACATTAGCCACTGCATGTCCTCACCATAATGGTGCGTATAGATCTATGTGTCTCACTCACAATGTTAAACGAATGAAAAAGTTCTACTTTTATATGGAATGGGAAGATGTTACTAATTCTGAAGAAGATGTATAATTAAAAATAACTCAATGAAACTGTTTTTTTTTTTTTAAATTATGACATAAATAAATGTATTGAATTATATTGTTGTTGTTGATTATCTAGCCTTTCCCTCAAAACTAGTTTAAGATTAAAATATTAGGAACCGATGATTCATTCTGATAAAACACACACTTGCGCAGTGCCTACACTAACGTGTATATAAACTTATTTCGGTGCACAGTGCTGCTTAGTTCATAACGCAGCATCAAACGCGACGAATACGCGTTTATATCGCAGTTAGTACGACGCTTTTAAGCTGCAAAGTAAAAATGGATTTTTCCGCCCTCGGGTGGTTTTGGGAGGCTGTTACTTCCTCGGGCGAAAAAGCAGTTTTCTGGAACTCGTTCGAAAACTCTCCTTTACGAACCTCGTTACGTCCCTCGCCTTCGGCTCGGGCCGCAAACGTCTCGGTTCGCAAACAGAGACTCTTCAAACTCGTAGGAAAACTACTATTTACGAGGATTGTGTTATTGAGATTAAAGGTTTTCTGGACGCTTCTTGACAGTTTTTACAAAAAGAAGTGGCTGTGGTGTCGCTTATGAGACCAGCGATTAGTCATTGGATTGTGCTGGCCCCGTGCAATTTTTCCACCTTACGTATGGATGTGCGCCAAAACAACGACTTTTAGTCGAAGCGAGTGCATGGACTTCGCTGGTTTGAGAGTGATTATTCCATTAGAAAATTACAGCAACATTTGTACACTGTAGCAAAAAATGCACATCGAATGTACGTTTATGAAGATAATAAAGCCACTTATTTGGAATCGACCATAGGGTGTACTGTGATTAACATTCAGTAGTATATGGTGCACATTCTTAATATGGGAAATTGAACAGAGGCGTTAATGTGTGGTACTCATGTTGTACAAAAAATTCTACGTAGAAAGCAATATTGCGCACTTAGTAAAGCTCATCAAATAAAATTGTGGCTTTGCTCTTTGGTGAAAAGTAGCATTGAACCAGACTCAGAATGTTTTTTAGACGCGCTTAATAGTGATAAGAAGAATATTTCTAAATTGCTTTCCAGTTGGGATACTTTTGATGGAATTAATGCTTATGATAGTGATACTGATACTGATAGTGACTCTGAAACTGATACTAATGTGGGTGTCAAAATTAATGACCACGTGTAGGCAAAAAAAAAAAGAATAAAGTAAGCATAAAATTTAAGATCAGAAATTAAAGTACATCTTGCCGTGTGGAAGAACAAAGAAATTAGCACCGTCTTATAAGCTGATGAGAATTTTTGTATTGCTTCAGTTATCCTGTAACGATTGAGCAGTCAACATCAACAACATGGGTCCGATCTTTAGCAAACTAAAATATGAGAGCCTCAGTAAGGAGGAGGACAAGGAAGATAAAAATAGCCTAAAACTTCTTTTAGAAAAGCACGTTGAGGCATCTCAACCAAAAGTGAAGGAAAATTATTATTCCGAAAATATTTGCTCTTATCCAAATAAAGATCGATATGATATATTGAAAAAAAAAATCCATAACCATGAAATTCTTGTGTATTTTTTTTGAAGCTACCAAAAATAAATGTGTATTAAATTTAAAGTTTTGTTATTATTGAAACCCCTTTACATATCATCGTTGGGCTTGTCACCTACACCTTTCGGACCCATCCTGATAACGTCGGAGCTTGATTTGCGGTCGGGAAGGAAGGGAGCCGTCAGTACCATCCAATGTCACCGCATCTGGAAGAGGCGCCTTCCCCTGACGTTACCGCTCGAGTAGTCCGCACCACCTTCTACCCCTACTACCTCTTCTATACCGCCCTTACCCCTCCTCCCATCACCCGATCAGCCTCTCCTCCCGCCGCCCAATCAGCCTCTCCCCCCATCACCGCCTCTCCTCCACCCACAGCTATAGCTAGAGCCTCTCCCCCATCACCACCTCAGGGGGAGGCTGGGGGGTACCAGAACCACCATGGTTTACCTACTCATAGGTCACGAGATCCATGAAAGAAGCGAAGCTGTTTATAAAAAAACTATTTTTCAAATTATATAATTTTTGTCAATTTAACATTATTTTATTTAAAAAAAACAAAAATTAATCAATGCTCATTCGTTCTCTTATAATTATATAAATTTATCGCACAATTTTTTTAGTCTTGTTTCATATGTTTTCAGAATTTTGCGCCGTTTGAAAACGTTACAATTACTCATATTCCCGATGGAAAATTTTAACTAGGCTACTTACCCGAAAAATGGATGACAGAATTCCATGTATAACTACTTCAGGAAACCCATACGTCATTTCATGTGCTTTTACATAAAAAAGGGTTTTTAGATTAGTGATGCTATACGTAATGGCGTATGAAAAAACATATGGAATTACAAATGAAAAAGAAAAAAAAAATTTGTCACCTATAATTAACTACAGAATAGTCTAATCCACCATACTTTTAAGTTTCAAGTAGTTTTATTATTATTTAAATGAACAGGGTAATGTCCTTAAGGACGTTGCCTAGTTAATTTGTTTTTCTGTAGGTAACTACATTACATGTACCTTGACTAAAATGGATAAGCATAGCAGAATACTAACCTAAGAAGTGATTTTTAAAGGGATTTTAATCATTTTAATGCTAACATCTGTAAAAAGTACTATAACATGAATTGAAACTTTGCATGATTACTCCTTGAATAGTTTTCTATCAGTCCTGTAAGTTTTGTTAACATATTATTTCTATTATAGTTTTTAATGCTATTTCAGCAGCCGTTTCATAAGAGTCCATGTTAAATATGATTTTTAATCGTGTTATTTCTCAATATTTGATAATATAACACATGCCTAAGAAAGTATGAGTGGATTCAAAAAAATCTAAATATCACTAATCTTAATTTTCATAAAATTCTGTTATTATTTTATGTTAGTGAGCAACGTTGTTAACTAGCAAAAAATGCAAAAGTATATCGTGCTTTAAAAATTACTAGAGTCAATGACGATAATTTTAGTGTTTTTATTGTAGATATTTTTTAAGAAAATAAAAGTTCCATCTACCCATCACTTAATAAATCGTTTAATTTCTTAAATGAAAGTTATTTTCTTTAAGTTTCGAAAAGTTCTGACAATTCTATGAAAGATTATCCTATAAACTATACCTATATAGGTCTATACAATAACTACTTATATACATGTAGACAAAAACAACGAGCGGAATCCTTTGTTCATTTTATGGGTCGTGACAGCTAATCAGCTCCTGTCCCGCGTTTTGCGAACTAACTAGGATGTCAAGGTAGGACCAAGCTCTTCTCCCGTAACATCATGCCACTATCTAATGCAACGCATTTGCCACATGAAGATCAATGTATGATAGCTAGATTGCTTACGTAGAAAATTTCCAATCGGGATTTTTCGATATTTTTGGGCACATGTGTTATTTTAAAAATTTGTATCTCACTTTTTTTATTTTTGAGTTTCTTGTCTAATTTTACTTCTAAATTTTCACGCCGTTAGGTGATGATGAGAGAAAGAGAGAGAAAGAGAGAGAGAGAGAGAGAGAGAGAGAGAGAGCTCACGCACTTAACACCGTACATCACACATATACTACTCTTGCTGTTGAGAGAGCATATGGCGCCCGGCGGTGATGGGACGAACAGGAACGAAGGGGACAAGAAAAAGTGTGACGCTTTCCCCTATTTTTGTCAAGTGAAGGCCCAACACAAAAAGCTCCGATTCAAAAATTTCAACTACTAAGAAACTACTCAAAGAAAACAAATCTCTTGCGTTGATAGTGATAAATACAATCATTAATACATACTTTTTGTTACTAGCAGATGCACTAAGAAGAATAGAAGCTGCTACTGTATGAGGTGAACAGCGATTTTTTAAACTTTATCTAAGTTCTTACTATCGATTAACTGTAGAACTAGCTTGAACGTTTTTATCACATAAAAATTTTTTTCTTAAGTAAAATCGATGTTAATCATAAAAAAGTGTAAATGTCAATGATACATTCAATATTTTATGTGATCTTTTGTACTTCAAAGTAACTTACCCCCTATACTAGAATTGTAAGCAATACCAACACCACAGAATCGATTGAATGCAATAGCTGCAACCTCTCCAGCGCATCGTGTTCCATGTTTATTGTCTCCATTATCTCGTGGCATTGGATCGTCGTCATTGTCATTGATATCTGTACTAGCTTCAGGATCGTAATTTAAAGCCAAATCTGGATGATTGGTTTGTATACCGTCATCCAAGATTGAGACGACAACACCTTTTCCAGTATACCCTTTTTGCCATGCAGGACCCAAATTCATGTCAAAACCATCTTTCGCACCTCCATTCTGTAAAAATTCACAAAATAAAAATACTGAATAATTAGTTTTTAAACTATTAAAATACTTTAATGTCGTCCATATTTCATGAATGAAAGTGTTAATAAACAGCTATGCTAAAGGATGATGTTAAAGAATGGATTTTTATATGATATAAGGCAAATATATCCATTAGTCTGGTGAGCACATTTCTCATTAAAAAATGAATTACTGTCAGTATAGCAGCTGAAGTAAATTTTCAAACTTTTCGTTCACTTTTATTTTCTGAGCAAAGTCTATATTCATTATTCAAACAAAATAAAATGAACATTGAATTATTTTGAGATTTTTAATAATTTCGTTACAAATCCGAATACATTCTATTAATAAGGACACCATAGGTGTTGAGTTTAAAGACTACTTTATAACTTCGGTAATACCACTTTACAATTACAAAATCAGAAAGGTGTTATAAATGTTTTTTTTTTTGGTTCTTATTTGTTATTGTCGAATACCTCGGAAATAATTAATTTTGAAGAAAAAGGTTTTAGGTAAAGGTTATTGAAAAAAAACCAAAAAAATGAAAAAAGATTATGGTTGGTTATGATTCCTTCAATTTAATATAAAACCGAGTATAATGAAGAATTTCATGTTTTACAATATGCGTTAGGTCCGATAACAAAACTCAAAGACGGGTTTCGACTGCGAAATCAACAAGTTAAAACTTCAACTGTCTGCACAGTCGGCAGAACAAAATGAATCAACATCAACTTTGCTGAAATTTTTGTAATAATGTAAACAATTTTAATTACTTTTGAAGAGCTTACTTATTTAAGTGAAATAAAATGACAGTTTATTAACACCCCGTTTCTAGGAACTATAAGGTCACCAAAAGCTAACTTAAGGTAATTCTGTTTCTTAAATCGTAAGATATAACCTTATTAACTCGGGCATAACGTACCTCAGTACGTGTTTGTATATAACTTACATGCATAGCTAGTCTTATAAGTTAGATTACTGTGAATACATAAAAAAGTATCAGCAGTGTTATAGGTCCCTTTAATTTTATTTTTATAGAAAATACAAAATTACAAAATTTACATTTTACTCGTAGAGTTGTGAAGACTTCAGAACCTTAAAGGCATCTATATTTACGGTCTTGGCCATAAATTAACCTCAATGGCTTTTAAGGTGCTAAGAGTGCTCTAAACAGCTCTATCAAACAAATTTATCAAATACAGTGTGTTTAAATATTATACCATATTATAACGCTTTTTCTACATTGTTTAAAACTTTTTAAAATGATGAAAATATGTATTCGTTGTTCATTGTTATTATAACTTGAATAAAAAAAGTTATGAAACTTATTACATCCAAAATTCAATTGTTTTTTTTAATAATAGCTGATCCATGACTTATATTCATGTACTGATAGTTGACACATTATAGTAATAATTATTTTTCAAATGATTTAAATAGTGACATAAAACTTATTTCAAACTGCTGACCGTTGGCGTCAATAACAAGTATAATAACTAACTAGTGTTGTGTATCAGAAAGTGTTATTGAAACCTTTTAATTGAGTAATAATAAATAATTAAGTTTGATTTGATGGTTTGACTTCGCTATTACGAATTGTATTGAAAATAAGTTAGGTTTACGCCAAACTTAGTTTAACTAAATATTTTTTAATTTCATATTATACCATTTTGAACTTTTTTTTCCAAGATTCTGTTTGATGTAGGTACTGGTGGACAAAATGTACACATAAACTATCAATTGTTTTAAAAATTTTATTAAAAATAAATGATGTTTTGTTTTCCTTGTTTTCATAAAATTTTTTAGATAATAGACTAAAAAACTGTTTCTTAATAAATTGACCACCTAGATTTTCAGACAAAACAAACCATGCAATACTTTTTTTTTAATGGTAACATAAAGTTTCTACTTTTTTGAACTAAAATTTGTAAATTGTCTTTTATTAATGTCATGCAAATATCAGCATTCTTCGATACACGGGTTACAATAGCAACAGTGAAACCTTGTAGTAGTTTACATTCATACATTCACACACACACGTAGATATAGTTAATAACATAGTAAAATTATGCGGATGCTAATTTGTTCACCTATTTATCCCCCTCTTCGATACATAAGACTGTCTGCATAAGTTACTTTATATATGTATTCTTAAATTTTATACTTGTTTTCACTAAACCATGTGATTTGCTTTTCTTTATTGCCCCATCCATTTCTACGATTTACGTTACTTTTCTAATATTTTTTTACATTAATCTGACTGTAAGAAGCTTTTCCACTCTGCCCCATCTTTCCCCACGCTGCTCCACCCTCTCGACACTCCTTCCCAACCTTATACATTACACACATATCTGAACAAATAACTGTAATACGTTACAAATTTTCTTTTTTTTTTTTAATACGAAACAATAATGTTAAACAGTCTTTAGTTCCATGAATATTTTTTATTTTTAATAACTTGACTTAAAAGTTAAGATAATATTTTATGAAAATAATACAGTAATGATATTATTTTAAATAATACATGTCTGTTAATATTTCAAAAACTTACTTCATAAATATTGACGGTTTCTTTACAGAGTAAAAATATGGAAAATTAAATGTATAATAAAATGGATTAAACTATTTTAACGAAATGCATTCAATTAAATGAGAAAGAATATTGCTTAAAAATTACTTTTTTAGTTGTAAGATTTCAAATGTTTTTGTAGAATATCTTTTCTTAAGAATCCTTTTCTGCTTGTCGACATACATTTTTGCATTTTTGTTGATGACTTTTTCATGCGTCAAGTGATGGCTTGAGAGAAAAATTTTTTTGTAACTGTTATTGCAGGTATCACATTATAAAATTTTTCTAAATCTGTGCTTCCATCAAGTGTTTTGTAAAAAAATTTTCCGCCCTCGGGTGGTTTTGGGAGGCTGGTACCTCCTTGGGCGAAAAAGCAGTTTTCCGGAACTCGTTCAAAATAGTAGTTTTCCTACGAGTTTGAAAAGTCTCTGTTTGCGAACCGAGAGGTTTGCGGCCCGAGCCGAAGGCGAGGGACGTAACGAGGTTCGTAAAGGAGACTTTTCGAACGAGTTTCGGAAAACTGCTTTTTCGCCCGAGGAAGTACCAGCCTCCCAAAACCACCTGAGGGTGGAAAAAGTCTTTTCCGCCCTCGGGTGGTTTTGGGAGGCTGGTACTTCCTCGGGCGAAAAAGCAGTTTTCCGGTACTCGTTCGAAAAGTCTCCTTTACGAACCTCGTTACGTCCCTCGCCTTCGGCTCGGGCCGCAAACCTCTCGGTTCGCAAACAAAGACTTTTCAAACTCGTAGGAAAACTACTATTTTTACGAACCTTGTTACGAACCTCGCCTTCGGCTCGGGCCGCAAACCTCTCGGTTCGCAAACAAAGACTTTTCAAACTCGTAGGAAAACTACTATTTTTACGAACCTTGTTACGAACCTCGCCTTCGGCTCGGGCCGCAAACCTCTCGGTTCGCAAACAGAGACTTTTCAAACTCGTAGGAAAACTACTATTTCGCAATAGTGTGCGGAAAATGGGTGTTTTCCACACTGGCATTAGTGTGGAAAATCGATTTTCCCACACTGTGTGCGGCAAAGGTTTTCCGCACTGTGTGCAGAAAAGGTGTGTGGCAAAGGTTTTTGTCGCACAGTGTGTGGAAAAAGTGTGCGGCAAAGGTTTTTGTCGCACAGTGTGAAGAAAAGGTGTGTGGAAAAAGTTTTGCCACACACCAGAAAAAATTTTGCTACACACTGGAAATCCAAATTCAAACCTATTTTGTACCTATTTCCCTCACACGTTGCGAAAAAACTTGTACGCCACTCGTGCGGGACGATTTCCCGCACTCGTGGCCGGTACGGTAACTCGTACCTTGCGATCACTGGTACTCGTTCCCGTCAACTCCGGCACTCGTGTGAGTCAATCACTACTCGTGCGGGAAATCGTCTTTTCCGCACTTGTTGCGTAAATAACTATTTTATGTTCAATTATTTCTCCTTATTAGTGACATGTATAACTTCCTTTTGTATAAATTTCATGTGTTTAATTACTCAATAGTTATCTTTATAAAGGTCTTCGATATTAGATTTTACACGAATGTATCTTAAAATTTAATTATTACATTCAAAATCTTAATTTTTGAAAGTAAAATAGTTTTACGAAATTTGAAGCTACATAGTGTTTTATAATAACTATGTCAGTGTAAATAATACTTTTATTAATCTTCTAATGGTTGATACGAAGATATGATAACAACATTGGAATTTATTATGAATATTGATAGTGTTACGTACAATAGCATATAGCTTTGCGTGCTAGCGCCCCCGCTGGATTGGGTCCAAAAGGTAGGGAAATAGAGAAGAGAAGCAGTAGGAAAGGAAGAACAAAGCAGCAGAGTAAGGGGAGATTAGCCAGAGACGTGGGAGCGAAAGGATAAGGCCCATGAAACTGGAAGACACGCTTAACGTTCCTAAAATATAAAGAGTTCTAATAAAGTGTTACTTAACTACAAGTCGAGCTTTTATCCATTCCCGCACCGAGAAACCCACGTAACAGCTGGTATCAGAAGTGAGAAATGGACAAAATTTTTTTACGTTTCGTCTTGTGCGCGGAGAAACAAAAAATACTGATTTTTGCATAACAAAAATTTTTTTTATTGTTAGTGAAAGCAACGAAAACGTAAAAAAAGGAATATCACTCATCGTAAAGGAAAAAAAGTGTCCAAAGTGCCAAACGCCGAATCTAGTGCTTCAACCGTCATAATAAAAGGAATAACGAGGAAGCGTTTCACGAAAGTAAAAATTACCTGGGAAAAATAATCTTTAACACTGCAAGGACACCAGACCAGAAAACAATTGCAAAACAAGCCAGTGGACCAATAAAGCAGGACGCTAGAGGCAACTGACGTTTACTAAACTCAAGACGGGAAAATACGGGAAAGAAAAGACGATCAACACAATTAATATTAAGGACAGGGGATTCCAAGGACG